TGTCAACTATCACCAGGTAGATCTGCTCCACAAGACCTCTTTCAAGGACTGAAAAGCAAGGCTGTTCCTTTGAAGGCTAAGGTGCGCCTGGCCCAAGCCATGGTATTCTGCATCGCCTCCTATGCATGTGAAAGCTGGACATTGAGTAAGGAAGACTGACGAAGAATCGATGCCTTTGAACTGTGGTGCTGGGGAAGACTATTGAACGTACCATGGACAGCTACGAGGACAAACCAATCTGTCTTGGAAGCATGGCCAGCGTGCTCCTTAGAAGCAAGGATGGAAAGACTTCCTCTTATATACCCTGGGCCAGCCGATGGCCCTGATCTACAAAGGACCATGTCATCAGGAGAGACCAGTCCCTGGAGCAGACGTCACACGTGGTAAAGCAGAGGGTCAGCGAAAGACAGGAAGGGCCTCAAGGAGATGCACTGACACCGTGCCTGCAGCCCTGAGCTCAAGCATAGGAGCAAGTGTGAGGGTGGCGCAGGGCTGGGCAGCGTTTTGCTCTGTTGTGCATGGGGTCACTATGGGTCGGACTCGATGACACCTAACAGGCAACATCACCTCCGATCAGCCACAAGAAGCCCTGGTGTCACAGGGGGTCACATGTTGGGCCACTAACTCCAAGGGCAGCGATTTGAAACCCCGAGCCCCTTCTCAGGAGAACGTTGAGGCCGTAGTCCCGCCTCTCACCGTGACGGACAGATCTCCTGCCAATCACGGTGTTTGTAACGCTTTTTTTATTTCCTGTCAACTATCACCAGGTAGATCTGCTCCACAAGACCTCTTTCAAGGACTGAAAAGCAAGGCTGTTACTTTGAAGGCTAAGGTGCGCCTGGCCCAAGCCATGGTATTCTGCATCGCCTCCTATGCAGAATATGCCTCCTATCCTGTACAGACTTATGGTCTCAGCAACTCCGAGAGGCAGTTCTACTCCATCCTACAGAGTCGCTATGAGTCAGAATTGACTCACGGCAGAGTCTGGCGATCAATGGCCTCATGGCTGTGAATCCTTTGGACACCACCCAGCCTGGCTCACTCTGGGCCATCCCTGTCTGGAGATGGGCCTTTCTTCCCCATAGGACTGGGAGCCCCAGGAAGGCAGAGTTGGGGCCTTTGTCAACACTGCCGTGTTCTGGCTAGGTGCTGAAGGGTTGTGAATAAATGAAAGGGAGAAAAGATGGACAACCTGGTCTGCTGGCTGGCCACTGACCACTTTGGTTTCCTCTCACAAGTCCCCCTCCTCCAGGAAGCCTGCCCTGCTCTCATAGTTATTGACTGTGTCATCCCTCAAGACTCGTGAGTGTGTTGGGTATGAGACTAACTCTTTCCTCCTCCAGGAAGCCCTCCCTGACCCCTACGTTGGGTTAGATACCCCTCCTCACTGGATTCCTACATCTACCCGCATCTACCGTGAGCTGTCACTGTCTGGGGCAGGGTGGATATCCTGTGAAGAAAGGACCGGGCTGTCTCAGCCCCTTCTGTGTCCCCAGTACTGTTGGGCTCACGACTGGGCACCAAGGAGAGACTCAGGGAATATCTGTGATGTGAACACAATATGTCAATGATTAATGAGGTTCCCTGACCCCTAACTCTTCTTGGTCTTTATGTTCCCAAAGACCAGCAGCCTGTCTTGCCCATCCCACTACCAGCGAGTCGATTCTGACCCATGAAGGACCCCACATACAGAGTAGATCTGCTCCCTAGGGTTTCTGAGATTACATTTTTAGGGATGGTCCAGCCTCATCTTTCTCCCGTGGAGCAGCTGGTGGGCTTGAAATGCCAGTCTTATAGTCGGCGGCCTAGTGCTTAACCCCCTTTGCCACCAACCCCCAAACCAAACTCACTGCCGTCAGGTCCATGTTGGCTTATAGCAACCCTACAGGACAGAGTACAACTGCCCCCCTGTGGGCTTCCCAGGCTGCAAATCCTTACAGGTTGAGTTAGTTAATTGTGCCAGCCTGGCCGATAATCACATGTGGTGCTGGTTGAAAGGCGGAGGGATAAATGGGTGGTGAAGCCTCGCCTTTCTAGTTCTCGGGTCTCTTGTTTTGTGATGGTTGCATTGGGTGCAGCTGCCTTAGCAGTTCCCTGCTTCAGCTTGCAAGATGGACTTCCTACAAGACATCCCCAAGGAGAAGCCGCATGGATCTATCCCGATGCAGCCCTGGGTGCTGGAGCAGCCGTGTGGAGACCCCTGCTAGTGCTGAGATGCTTACACGTTCACTGACTCGGCTTTCCTCCTGCCGTCGGCATCATTGCCTCTGTTTTGTGAGGAGGAGGAGGACTTTGTGGACTGGTGTTGGGTTAATGGGTTAATGTTGGACTTGTGGGCTTGGGCAGCATTGGGTTGGGATGTTCTCGTGATGCACCTTTTCTTTACATAAAACTCTCTCATACGTGAGTCGCCGTGGATTTGTTTCTCCAAAGTACCCAGACTAATACACAGGTGCAGAAAGCCTCCTCTTTCTCCCTCTCAGCAGCTGGTGGGTTTGAACTGCTGGCCTTGCTGATCACAGTTCAACATGTAACTCTCTACACCCACCAGGGCTCCTTTGGTCTTGCACATAAAGCATGAAAAAAAAACCCCTCTCATATATTGATCCTTTGTGTGGCAGTTACATAACCTGTCAACTTGTGAAGGGGTAGAGTCTAGCCTGTCAATCAGGTCATAGCCAATGAGGCCTCTCTGTGTGGGCATAGCCTTCTGAGGATTCTGGGAACTCCTATTTTCCTCACCGGGGTAAGATGCACACTCTCTCCCTTCAAGACACTCCTGTTGACAAGACATATGGAGCTATGCTGATGGCAGCCCGAGCCCTGGAGCTGGAGAAGCCACGTGGAGAACCCACGCCAGCTGAGGTGCTTCCACTGCCACTAGATCCCCGAGAATTTCCACTCACTGGCCTGTGATATTCCTGCACTTGGCATCATTGTACGTGTTGTGTGAGTCTGAAGAGGAATTTATAGACTGGTATTGGACACATATGGGCTAATACAGGACTTATGGAGTTGATAGGACAGGGATGGGGTGTTTTCTCAATACACAATTACTCTTTGATATAAAGCTCTTTCTAATATGCATGAGTCTCCCTGGATTTGTTTCTCTAGTCATCCCAGATTAGCACACTTTGCTATGTCCACCAAGGTCCCTGGTGGGCAGGGAAAAGTTACAGATTGATCGTTCAAACCCACCCAGCAGCACTGAGGAAGAAAGGCCTGGCAATTCACTTCCTCATAGAAAGCCCGTGGAAAGTTCTCCATAACACACACATCCACAGCAACAGGCTCATTTGGGGCCTTTTTTGTTTTGCTCTGATTTGTTTACTGCGTCTTCCTGTCCCCAGCTCAGACAGCGCCTCCCCATGGGTGCCCTCCCTGACCCAGACCCATGCCCAGCCCTGCCCGCTGCTGCCCTTCCCACCAGGCTAACTGCAGAGCCTCTGTTTATGACCAGGGTCCCAGGTCCGGAACAGCAGATCAGCTCACTCAGCCTGGCTGTATGGTGACTCACTGGGAACTCATTGCTGGGCCCTTGGAAGCATTAAAGAGTAAAGGTGTCCCCTTGGGGACTGAGGGGCGCCTGTCTCATGCCAGGATCTTTTGCATTCCGTGTGCTGCCTGTCAGGCTGGACGGTGACTCAGGAAGACCGGAGGTGAACTGACACTTGAATCATGGCGCTGGCGAAGAACCCCCAAAGCATCGTGGCCTGCCAGAAGGACAAACACCTCTGTCTTGGAAGTAGAGCCAGAAGTGTGGCTGTCTCCTGTCCTTTGGACTTTGGTTATCAGGAGAGACCTGAGTTAGTTAATTGTGCCAACCTGGCCGATAATCACATGTGGGGCTAATTGAAAGGCGGAGGGATAAACGGGTGGTGAGCCTCGCCTTTCTAGTTCTCGGGTCTCTTGCTTTGTGATGGTTGCACCAGGGTGCAGCTGTCTTAGCAGTTCCCTGCTTCAGCTTGCAAGATTGACTTCCTACAAAACATCCCCAAGGAGAAGCCACATGGACCTATCCCGATGCAGCCCTGGGTGCTGGAGCAGCCGTGTGGAGACACCTGCTAGTGCTGAGATGCTTATTCATTCACTCACTCAGCTTTCCTCCTGCAGTTGGCATCATTGCCTCTGTTTTGTGAGGTGGAGGACTTTGTGGACTGGTGTTGGATAAATGGGTTAATGTTGGACTTGTGGGCTTGGGCAGCATTGGGTTGGGATGTTTTCATGATGCACATTTTCTTTACATAAAACTCTCTCTTATACATGAGTTGCTGTGGATTTTTTTCTCCAAAGTACCCAGACTAATACAGACCCATTCCTGGAAAAGGGCATCTCGCTGGAAAAACAGGATCAGCGAAAACGAGGAAGACCCTCAAGGAGATGGGTTGATGCCCTGGCTGCGACAATGGGCTCAAGGGCAACAACCAGTGTGAGGAAGATGCGTTTGTCTGACACACACCACCGCAGCTGGCTGCACCTCACTGAGCAAGAACCACCTATTGAACCTGGCATCAGCCCTGCTTGGCACTGGCCTTGGCTCCGGGGTTTCTGGTCAGCATGAGCGTTGACCACTGTCTGTCATGAAGGCCAGTGGTGCCCTGACATTCTGAGGTCATGCCTCCGCAGGACGGTGGTGCCCTTCTGGGCTCCCGAGTTCTGCCAGGAGGTGGTGAGGGGTGTGTGATTTTCATAGGGAGCCAAGGCCAAAGGGCAGGTTTTTCTTTCGCTTTATCTACCCTCTGGGGAAATCCTGGTTGGTCTCTGGGGTTCCTGCTCCCTGAACCAGTGGGGAGAAGGAGAGCGAGCCCTGGGGGTAGAGGGCAGAGGTGGGGCCCAACTGCCCTCTTGTACCCGTCTCTCTCTGGAGCCTCCCTCCTCACAGGAAAAGGGGAAGAGACAGGGGCTAGGAGGAGGCAGAGCTGGAGGGAGAGGGGTGGCACTGTGTCTGCGTGTGTGAACCAGAGAGACAGGTGGCACATCTGAGTCAGGTGTCAGGACCCATGGGGTCCCCTGGCTTTCAGGGACCCCACTGGGTGGGAGTCTTGCTCTCAGGTGAGTGCCTGCTCTCTTCAGATGGGGTAGGGGAGGGAGTGGTTTGGGGTGGAGAGAGCTCTCTGTGTGTGAGTGTGTGTGTGTGTGTGTCCTTGTCAGTGGTATGTATGTGCATCTGAAAGAGAGAGCGGAAAATGGAGTCAGAGCCAGAAATAAAGACAGAGACAGAAAAGGTGGGCAGAGAGAGACATAGAGGTCAGAGAGATGGAGGCAGAGAGAAGTGGACTGAGGGCCACAGGAAGTGAGAAACTCAAAGATAGAGAATTGGGGGGGGGGGCAGGGGAGAGACAGACAGAGTGGGAGGACCCAGACGGAGACCAAAACCCAACTCCCAAATCCAGGTTGTGGGGTTAATTTTGACTCTGTGGGGGTTCCCAAGAGGACATCTTTACAGGATCCGAGAGCCTCATCTTTTTCCCACAGAGCAGCTGGTGATTTCAAACTGCTGGCTTTAGGGTTAGTCTGTTGGGTCACCCACTCCTGGAGAGAGAAAGTGAGTGAGCAAGCGAGCGGATAGAGAAGAGAGTGACAAAAAAGGGAAAGAGAGTGGTGAGGGGAGAGAGAGATCATGGCAGAAAGAGAGAGAGACACACAGAGAGAGAGAGCAGGCCTCATGGAGAGAGAGAGAGATGAGAAGAAAAACGCTGACAGAATGAATGAGAGAGCGGAGGAGGGACAGCCAAGGAAAAAGTGGTGGCATGTAAGGGAGCCAGGTGACAGGAGGAAGAGAAGCAGAGCAGGCTGTGACCCCAGGGGCCAGGTCCACGTATCAGGAGGAGCGATGCCTACCGGGCAGCCCCAGCAAAGGGGGAGGAACTAGAGAACACTGCTCAGAAAGGCTTTTAAGAGGAGGAGCGGTTTCCCAAGGTGCAGCACGTGGCGGTTAAAATGCTTGAGAACTAACCAATAGGTTGGGGGTTCGAACCCACCGGCCGCTCCCTGGGAGAAAGAAGTGGCAGTCCACGTTTGCCCTGGAGGGCTGCCGTGAGTCAGAATCAACTGGACAGCAACAGGCTTAGGTGTGTGTGTGTGTGTGTGTGTGTGTGTGTGTGGTGCCTGGTGGTGCAGATGGTAAAATGCTCGGCTGTGAGCCCGAAGGTTAAAAGTCTGAGCCTGCTCACAGGTGCCTTTCAAGCAAGTCCTGGAGAAGTAGGGAGTTCCAAACAACTTGTAGAAGAACTCCATTGTCATTTAATTCCATTTTTCGATGGTATTTTTGAAGCTTTTCTCTGCCTCCCCCACTCCACCACCCAGCCACCTGAACTTCTGAAAAAGCAAGCAGTTACTGGAGCCCACTGTATTAGTCTGACAGATGAGTCAGGCCCCCCCCCCACACCCCCTACCCCCAACACACGCACTGTCCTCTGGCCCACAGTCTTCCAACAGTTTCTGGTCCAGTGGAAAGCTGGGAGCTCCTGCTACCTTGGTCCCCTGTCCTCTCCCATTCAACAAGATGGCGGAAGTGCCGAAGGTTAATTTCTCCCACTGGAGATAGTAGTTTGAGTTCCTCTCTTGGGTGTTGGCTCTGTGCCCATCACTGGGCTGACGTCTCTAGGAATTGGCAGGGTAAGCTGAGGTTTAACCTCCAGACACAGTGGGGCTTACCTGCTGGGCTGCAAAACACCAAGCCAGCAGTTAGAACCCACCAGCTGCTCTGAGGCAGAACGGTGAGGCTTTCTACTCCTGTACGGAGCTACAATCTTGTCAACCCACAGCGGCGATTCTGCCATGTCCTAGAGAGTCGCTACACATTGGCATCTACTGTACGGCAGTGAGTTTGGTTTGGGGTTTGGATGATGAGATGGAAGGAAGGACCACTGGTGGTGGAGTGGGCTAGGCTTTGGGCTGCTAACCACAAGGTGGATGGTTCAAAGCCAGCCATTCCTTGGGAAAGAGCGGAGGCTGTTTTCTCCTATAAAGATTTATAGTCTCAGAGGCAAAAAGTCACTATGAGTTTGTGGTGGTGACTTGTTGGGCTACTAACTGTGAGGCCAGCAGTTCGAACCCACCAGTCACTCTATGGGAGGAAGAGGCGACTGTCTACTCTCATAAAGATTTACACCTTCAGAAACCCACAGGGGCCGTTCTCTTTCCTGTAGAGTTATTATGACTCAGCCTTGACTCACTGGCAATGAGTTGTCTCGTAGGGTATTTTTTGTTTGTTTGCTTGGGGGCAGGGGGGCAGTAAGTTGGAAGGAGCCGAAGTGGCTCACCGATTAAAGCAGTTCCATTGCTGAGGCAGCTGAGGCATCAAAAGGTCCATGGGCAAATCTGTTTCAATAAAGTTTTTTTTTTTTTGGCACTGCTGTCAGTCAATTCTGACTCATAGTGACCCCACTACCAAGTTCCTAAACTTATTTGGCCTACTGTCCCCTTTTTTCAGAAAAGGACACATACCACCCCCCCAAATCAGCACACCCCTTCCCCCCATAATTAAAAACTTTTGTTCTGTAGCCCATAATCCAGGATAAGGTGTAGGTATCTGCTTTTGCAGCCCCCTGGATCATTCCAGCACTGCCCCCCAGGGAGCGCTGTCCACTTGGAAACACTGCGGCAGGTAGAAACTCACTGCCATCAGAGTCCCACCCATAGTGACCTTCCACTCATCGGAAGGCATAGGACTTCCCCTGTGGGTCCAGAGAAATGGAAATCCTCATCATTCTCTCAAGAAGCAGCTGGTGGTTTAGAACTGCTGATATGGCAGTTAGTAGCCCAAGCCATAAGCCTGGTGGCATACAGGGCTATGCCTTCCACTGCTAGCAGGTCCAAACCATCAGCCATTCTGCGGGAGAAAGAGGAGGTTTTCGACTTCTGTAGAGTTGACAGTCTCGGGAGCCCACAGGGACAGTTCTTCCCTGCCCTATGGGATTGCTATGAATCGGAACGAACTCGATGGCAGTGAGTGGCTTTTGCAGTTTGCATTATCTAGGGCTCTGAGACTGACTGTCTTCATGGTGCAGACAGGGTTTGAATGACTAGCCTTGCTGCAGTTGGTAGCTTAACGCTTGGCCCACAGTCAACAGGAATCCTCCCGGGACCGTTCTATTTCCATCCTGCAGGGTTACTGTGAGTCAGCGTCTGCTGCATGGCCATCGGTAAGGCTCAAGGCCCATGTCAACCGCAATTGGCCGTGTCATCTTGGCAGTTACTTCGCCTCTCCTGAGCTGAAGTGTTTGGTGCTTGGCGAAATGGGGAGAGAGACTTCCTGTAGGGCAGCGGTTCTCAACCTTCCTAATGCCGAGACCCTTTCATACAGTTCCTCATGTGGTGGTGACCCCCCAGCCATACAATTATTTTCGTTGCTACTTCATCACTGTCATTTTGCTACTGTGATGAATTGTCATGTAAATATATGATATGCAGGCTGTATTTTCATTGTTACAAATGGAACATAATTAAAGCATAGTGATGAATCACAAAACAATATGCCATTATATATTGTGAAATATTTATGTTTTCCGATGGTCTTAGGCAACCCCTGTGAAAGGGTCATTCGACCCCCAAAGGGGTCGCGACCCACGGGTTGAGAACCACTGCTGTAGGCAGACACAGGGACCACCAAGGGGTGCAGTCCAGGGTGGCCAGGGGTCATGACCTTCCCACAAAACTGAGGAGGGAGGTGCAGGAACAGTGGGCTAAAAGCGAGGACATGAGGCCCAGAGGGGATTCAGCTTACGTTCAAGTCACATGGCCCCTACCTAGTAAGGCCAGCTCTCCTCTGGGGACCAAGTGCGCCTCCATGACCTCAGGCCTCCCTCTGCCTGGGTGACCTTGACTAGACCCTTCCCGGTGCCTTGCCCGCCCTGAATGCTCCCCTCCTCTCTCCCTGCCAGCCTCGCTCCTGACTGTGTGGAGTCCGCCGGCCACGGCCCAGCTCGGCGTCCACGGCAGCACGCCGACCACCCACCGAAGTAAGGAGGAGGCGCTCGGCACGTGGGGGACCCTTTAGACCCCGCCCCACAGTTCCCCTTGCTGGTGACCCCGTGTGCGCATCGCGGGGCTGACCTGCTCCTGGGGGCCTTTCAGGGCCGTGGTCTGTGGAAAGCGGATCTCCAGGGCAACCGCAGAAAGAAGAGAGAGAGAGAGAGAGAGAAAAGGGAGGAACTAGAATACATTGTCGAGAGAAGCATTTGGGAGGCGAAGACATGAGTTGGTCATTATGGAACACGCTTTGGGTTAAATCAGGCAACCCGTAACTGAAAGGTGGGTGGTTTGAACCCACCAGCCGGCTCCTCGGGTGTGGGGTGCCATCCCCCACTATCCTACGGGGTTCAAGGGCGGTTGTCTCATTGAGGGGTAAGGTTGAAGAGACATCAGACAAGGTAAAACAAGCAAGTGCTCACCTCCAGGACCAGCATGACTTCAGGAGCCAGGTTCATGCAGAGAGAGAGAACTTATTTCCAGCCCAGGCTTATATATTCTCAGGGTTGGGGGGGCGTGCAAATCCCCCTAATTACGGGTAACCACATAAGTAACAAAGTGGGATGTACCCTAACCTTAAAGGTCTCCGAGTACATTGGAGGAGTGACCTAACACCAGTGCCCAGAGCAGGTAAGGGAGGGTGGCTGTCTTCAGAGCCTAGAGAGCAATAGGACACGTCTGCTGCTATCGAGAAAGCTGCCGGATACATAGCAATCAACCATGTGCTTGGTAAGAGGGAACGTTAAGGCAGCACTATTATGGGAGGTTATAGCGAGGAACAATATTAATTATGTGAATGTGATTGGGGCTCACCTCCAACTCCCAAGGGTGAAGGCCTCCCTCCACCCCAGGGACTTATCCTGCCAGGCTTGCTAACAGATGAGAATAAAGGATTCATCCCTCTTCCTGTTCTCAGCTCCCTACACTCAGGGAGGTGGCGGGACAGAGGAACACAAGAAGATGTGGCATTCTGAGCCCTGCCTCCACACCTCAATCATCCACCAGGGTTCCATGTCCCAAGTCCCAAACAGGATGAATCTGATCGAATCAGCCAGGAGCTGGCAACAACTGGCTCATTCAGTTGTGTTGAGGGCAGAGGCAGAGGGCTGGGCTGCGGCTGTCACCACCGGGAGTGGGGAGGGAGGGTTAAAAGGTATGTGGCTGACCTCCCAGTTACCAGTTGGATTTGTAATTGGCATGAAGGGACTCCTTGGTATGACCCAAACCCTCTTGCTTTCACCTGCACGATTGCAGGGATCTGAATGCTCTGTGTTCCCCTGCACTCAGCACATTCCGTTGGAGCTCCAAGAAGGGGCAGTAAGTTGCCCAAGATCACCCCTGGAGATTGAGTCCCGGGAAGTTTGACTTCTGTTGTGCGTCTTCTGCTGATTCAGATCCACTCCTGTCTCACTGATCGTTCAGTGACTCAGTTTCTCTTTGTTTCTCAGCTTCCTCTCTTTCTTTCTCTCTTTAGATTTTCGGAATAAGCCCATCATTTCAATCAACCAAAACAGTGCCATTGAGCATAGGGAGAAGGTAGAAATCAACTGTATCACCAGTGATGCCCAAGTTACCATTCGCTGGATCTTCGAAAGTGTCTCCCTGGTGCCCCACGAGCGGATGCTCCTGTCCTCGGACAACAAGATGCTCACCATTCTCACTGTCCACCGGCAGGATGCCGGAAATTACCAGTGTGAAACCTGGAGTCCCCTGCTGGTTCAGAGGAGTGATCCCATCAGGTTGGATGTGAGCTGTGAGTCCCTCCCATCCTCCCTGGTCCCTCACTGTCTCCTTCCCTTGGTGATCTCATTCGGTCTTGCAGCTTTAAATACAACCTTCACTGGGAATACAATACATTATGTTTTAAAATCCAATTGTGTAGGGAAAAGGTGCCCTGGTAGCATAGTGGTTACATGTTGGGGCTGCTAACTGCAAGGTCGACAGTTCAAAGACACCAGTGGCTGTGTGGGAGAAAGACTGGGCTTTTGACTCCAGTTAAGAGTTACAGCCTCAGAATTTCACAGGTGGAGTTCTACCCTGTCCCATTGGGTCGCAATGGGTCATCCTCAACGCAATGCAGTGAGAGAGCAAAGAACAATCTGTTAGAATTGGTAGTTGGCTATAGAACAGTCATAATACCAACAAAAATGCAGACAGGTCTACTTTTGGGTCCCAAGCACAATTACCTGGTTGACATCTCTGGAGTCATATGATGTTACATATGGTTAAACACTGGACTACTAGCCCAAAGCTGGGTGGTTTCAACCCACCAATATTCCGCCGCACCCACACACCCCCTCCCAATATTGGATCTGTGCCTTAGAAGAAATGAGCCCAGTTAAGAACCACTCCCAAGTGGAACAGAGAAGAGAAACGCTGTTCATTAGGAGATGAGCTAAGGGATGATGATTCAGCAAACAAAGTTGTTTGAATGACCCTTGATTTCTGAGTGCTATTTATCCTAATTTTTTCTAACAATATTAAGCATGTATTCCATACATGTGGGCTGTAATTCTTAAGATGCATGACAGGCTACACAAAGGCTAAAAATGTAGTCAGTAAAAGAAGCAAAATGAATACCTAAAACAAGCACTCTATCATTCATTACTAACTTGATGCCTCCTTCCCAGGATCCCTCCTTATCCATCTTACATAATGACGAAGAAAGCTGGAGGGGTCAACTCGACGCCACTCAATTCTGACACTCAGTGACCCTATAGGGTATGGTAGAACTGCCCCTGTGAGTTTTTGAGACTGCAACCCTTTTGCTTTTTTAATCATTTTATCGGGGGCTTTCACAGCTCTTATAACCTTCCATACATCAATTGTATCAAGCATATTTGTACATATGTTGCCATCATCATTTTCTAAACATTTACTTTCTATTGGAGCCCTTGGCATCAGTTCCTCTTTTTTCCCTCCCTCCCCCCTTCCACCCTCGTGACCACTTGAAAAATTATAAATTATTATTATTGTCATATCCTACACTGACCACTCTCTCCCTTCACCCACATTTCTGTTGTTCATCCCCCTCAGGGGGTGGGGGTGAGGAAACTCCAACTATTTATACAAATAGAAGGCCCCAGCCCTCTCGATTGAGGATCAGCTTGTGATTTTGAAATACAGACCTTGTGTTTAGCAACCTAAAGAATAACCACTACACCACAGGATTCTTAAGACTCCAAGCAGGGTTCAAGTCATAATTAACAGCCCACATGCTTGTTTGAAGCCCTGGGCACAGCCAAAACATACAGTGAGAAATGGATCACAAAATGGATGCTACTTCAACATGGCTGACCCAAATAAAAATGGCTGCAGTCTTGCTCACAAGCCTTGCTCACAACTGACACCCATAGGTGCCTTGGGAACAACAGGTGATACGCTTCCAAAGGGTCGAGGGCTTCAGAACCCCATGGAACAGTTCTACTCTGCCCACATGGGGTCGCCATGAGTGGGACTTGGCTTGAGGACAACTCCCAACAACTCAAATTCTCCTGGATCCTTCCCTTATGTAAAATGGGCTTTCTGGGCCCCCACACCTTGGGGTCCCAAATCAAAACCCAGCTCATTGCTATCAAGTCGATTCTGACTCATATAGACCTGTAGGACAAAGTAGAATTGCCCTGTACAAGGTTTCTGAGACTGGTCATCTTTACAGAAGCGGAAAAGTCTCACTTATTTTTTCCCATGGTACAGCTGGTGGCTTCAAACTGCTGACCTTATGGATTAGCAGTCCAATATGTAACCCACTACACCACCAGGGCTCTGATCCAAAATCTTGCCTGAGGAAGAGTGGGCAAAGAGCATTAGCTGGTATACCTCAGATGCGTCTTCCAACCGTGTTTTACCCAGAGATAAGGCTGTCATTTTTATCTCTATCAGACCCCTGCACCTTCCTCTCTATTAGTCCAGAGCTTGCGTCTAACTCTGCTCACTATAACTCATTGCCATCAAGTCGATCCTCACTCTTAGAGCCCCTTAGGACAAGGATCTGTGGGGTTGAGGCTACAAATCTTTACAGGAGCAGAAAGGCTCATCTTTCTCCTACAGAATATCTGGTGGGTTTGAACCACCAACCTGTGGTCAGCAGCTCAACGCATACCCTACTACATCACCACAGCTCCTAAAGCCTGGGCATGGAGGAGGGAAACATTAGCATTTACTGATCTCCTAACATTCCCACCTCCCCAAGGGAGGTAGCTGGTGTTACGGCTAATGCTGTGTATGGTCCTGTCTTCCCAGATGGTCCAGACTCTGTTGAGATCGAACTGGATTCTGGTGTACACAGTGGGGAGGCGATTGAGGTGTTGGAGGGCTCCACGGTGGTCTTGCAGGCAAAGACACAGTCTTCCCCAGAACCTGAGTATTCCTGGTTACTTCCCAACTCCTTCACGCTGACTCCATCTAACAGCACGTTGACCATCCACAACATCCTCAGGGAGAAGGAGGGCAGGTACCGATGCTTAGTATTCAACAAAGTCACCCAGCTGTCCAGCCTGAGAGCAGTGAAAATCCAGGTCCTTGGTAAGTACCCTTGCCTTGTTCCTCTCCTGCGTTCCTCAGAGCTGAGGACCTCCAGCGTCAGGAGGGATGTGGGGTTCTAAATCTGAGGCTGTGGACACCTGGGAGTAGCAGCGGGTGGGGTGAGGACCTGCGGGGGAAGCCAGTCCCTCACAACTAATCGCGGGTTCAGTAAGCACAATTGTACGGTTAAGATTTATAAAAATTATAGTAAGGTCATGGAGAAATGGGAGAGAGAGGGTAAACTAAAGAAGTCAGACACATTTCATGGTAGCATGCTCACCTCCTGGAGGGCCATGATCTCAACAGCCAGGTCCACACACGGTGCCGGCAGAGAGAGCAGGAGAGAGCTCTGGTGAGGTTTTATTTCTAACCAAAGCTTATATATCTTTGGGGGCATGCAAGCCCCTTGATTATAGATAATGACCTACATCATAGGAAGGGGTTGTATCATAGGCAATACAAGCAATAGGAGGGGGGGTGAGTTAGGGGTATACACATAATAGGAAGAGGAGGGACTAGGGGTACACATGGGACAAGAAGGGAGGACCCTAGACTCAATATGGCAGCCTAACTTTGGTCATCCTTGAGTGGGCTTGACCTCCCTGGGCTCTTCTTCAGGGAAACAATCTACAGTGAACCCTCGTTTATCGCGGTTAATCGGTTCTAGACCCTACCGTGATAAATGAAATTCTGCGAAGTAGGATTCCTTAATTGTAAATCAAATATTTTCATAGTTAGAGCATAGAGGACATGAAAAAACACCCTTTAGTCACCATTACACTCGTATTACCCAATTTATTAAACGAAAAAGGGAAAATACAGTAAAACATTTTGGACGTTACAATGATCATTTATTATTTATTATATTATTTATGGCATCTAGTTTACAGTATTACATATTTCACATACAGTATTATTATACATAGTTCTTACAAATACTGTAATCAATAGCCTATGAAATGACTTAAGGGATGTACTCTACAGGTAGGTCGCCGTCTTTTTCCTCTGAAGGAGCGGGTGTAGGCAGTGGGTGCTGTTACGCAAAAACCGCGATAGAGTGAAGCCGCGGAAGTCGAAGCACGAAGTGGCGAGGGTTCACTGTACTACTATCCTTATCAGAAGGGAGTGGGCCCTACTTAGGGTGGGACAGACTATACAGTCTGATTGCTCTAAATGGCCAATAACCCTTAGGGAGAATAACCTCTGACCTATTTTTGTTGACCTCCAAGTATATAGTCATTTACCATCTGTAGCAAGTAGCTAAGTTTTGCATATATTTGGGGGAGACAACTTGGGAGAAATCTTTCTGTTTCCCACATACATGAGATGAACTCTAGCTATCCTTGCATCTGGGGAGCATTCTAGTAGAACTTCTTCCAAGACAGATGTGTGTGTACTTTTGGCCGTCCATAGTACTTTCAGTATTCTTCGCGAGCACCAAAAGAAAAAAGAAAAAGAGGCATCCATTCTTCTTGGGTCTTCCGTATTCAATGTTTAACTTTCATAGGTATAGAGTTTAGGATTCACTATACACACACACACACACACACACACACACAGCTACAATTCAATTCGATCTACAACACACATGCCACCCACAAATGCAGATGAGGGCGCTCCAGAGCATTTGTGAGAGAATTCTGTTATCTTTTCATTCCGTTTTCCCGTAAACTTTTCGAAGCTCCCTTGTACAGCTCTGGAAGACCCTTATGAGTCCCATGTAGACAGGAAATGGGAGCGTGTGTGAGTGGGGAGCCCCCAATCTGACCCTGCCTCTTCATACATTTTTCAGACATATTGACCAAGCCTCACATCCTGTCCCCAAGTGCGAACTTAGTGGAGCATGCCAGCTCTGTGAACCTGACCTGCCAGACAACCCACGAGAGGGCTGCTGTCCAGTGGTTCCTGAATGGCCAGCCCCTCCTTCCCAGTGAGCGCTTGGAGCTGTCCCCTGACAACAACACTCTGGTCATCTATGGCCTCAGGCGGACTGACACAGGGCCCTATGAGTGTGAAGTCTGGCACTGGGGTAGCCGGGCTCGGAGCGACCCCCTCCAGCTGACCATCAACTGTGAGTCACCTAGGCCCCCTCACTTGAATGTTCTTGCTGGTTCTTCATTGCACTCATACTGCTCACCTGCTCTGTGCCCCACGGGACCATGGAGCTTGTGTTCTAGTGGCTGAGAGAGTGCATCATGTCTGGCTTTTCTGCCCACAGATGGCCCTGACCAAGTGAACATCACCAGGAATGGGCATCACCAGGAGGTCGTCCAGGAGACACTCAACTCCACCCTGATCCTGCAGTGTCAAGCTGAGTCCAAGCCAGGTGCACAGTATCTCTGGACCCTTGAAGGTTCCACCTGGATGTCTAACGGGGAGCAGCTGAGGATCAACGCTCTGACTTGGGACAATCAGGGCCTCTACAAATGCACGGCCTCCAACCAAGTAACTCAACTGGCCCTCTCTGCCTCAGTCCTGGTCCAGGTGATAGGTGAGTCCTTTTATGAATGTTGTTGTTATTGTTAGCTGCTGTTAAGTTGGTTCTGACTCAGAGCGACCTACCGACAATGGAATGAAGCACTGCCTTGTCCTGGGCTAGCCTCTCAGCTGTGCTTGTGTTTGAGCCTATTGCTGCAGGGACTATGTCAATCCATCTCCTCGATGTTCCTTCTCTGTCGGGGGAGACCAGCCCCCAACAACTAATCATGGCTCCGGTAGGCGCAATTGTATGGCTATAATATATAAATATTGTAGTAGTCATAGAGAATAAGAGAGATAGGAAAGAGTAAAATAAAGAAGTCAGACACATTTCATGGTAGCATGCTCACCTCAGCCTCCCTTGATGGTCCACATGGAGGTGCAGAAGGAGGAAAGGGGAGGAGAGGGTGAGGGAGCGGGGAAGGAGGGAGAGGAAAGGAGGTCTGGAACAGAGGGCATCTTTATTGTTTTGGGGCTTTTATAGGTAGCCATTAGTCATGCATATGCAGGAGCTACATACGTCACAAGGTGGGTGGTCATCACAGTAAAGTCCCTGAGTTCACAGGTGAGGAAACCCAATACCTGAATTGGGGGAAAGGCATGAAGGGGGATGGGTGCCTCGGTGGGGGGAGATCTGCAGGGAGACAGAATCAACCATATGCTCCCTTTAAGGCAGCATAGCTGTTAGGGGAGAGTCTGCAGGAATGACATTGGTTCGTTTCCCACACTGACCCTATCCTTTATCAAGAAGGGTGGCCTTCTCCAGGGACTGGTCTCTCCTGAGAACCTGTGAAATGAAGCCTCAACAACCTTGCTTCTAAGGAGCATTCTGGCTGTACTTCTTCCGCGACAGATTTGTTTGTACTTTTGACAGTTCGTGGCCCTTTCAATATCCTTCACTAGCATCATAATTCAAATGCTTCAATTCTTCTTCGGTCTTCCTCTTTTTTTCTCCAATGACCAACTTTGATATGCACATGAAGCAATTGAAAATACCATCGCTTGGCTCAGGTGCAGCGTAGTCCTCAAAATAACATCCTTCCTCTTCAACACTTTCAAGCAGTCTTGATCAGCAGATTTGGCCAAAGCAATATGTCATTTGACGTCTTCACTGCACCTGTCATAAGCATTGATTGTGGATCCGAGCCAGGTGAGACTCTTGACAACGTCGATCTTTTCTCCACCTATCATGATGTTACCTATTGGTCTAGTTATGAGGACTTTATTTATATTGAGTTGTCATCCACATTGAAGGCTGCAATCCTTGATCTTCATCCGCAAATGCTTCCAGTCCTCCTCACTGTCAGCCAGCTTGTTCCATCTGCACATCCCAGGTTAATAGGGCCTTTCTCCATTTCAGATGCCTCATTCTTCCTATCATCCAGCTGCTCAGATTATTTGTTCAGCACACACATTGAGTAAGTATGATGAGAAGATCTGACATTGACGTACATCTTTAATGATCTTAAACCATGAAGTAGTCCCTTATTCTGTTATAACACTGCCACTTGATCCATGTACAGGATCCACATGAGGACAACGAAGTGTTCTGGAATTTCTATTCTTCTCAAACATACCATAATTTGTTATGACCCACACAGTCAAATGTCTTTGCACAGTCAATAAAACACAAGTAGAGTCCTTTCTGGTATTTTCTCCTTTTAGCCCCCAATCTATCTAATTTCTGCAATGGAATCTCATGTTCCACATCCTCTTCTGAATCCGGCAGCTCCCTGTTGATATACTGCCGCAATCATTGTTGCAGCAAAAAATTGACCTGCATGGTGAGATGAATGATATCATTCTATGATTTCTGTATTTTGTTGGTATTGGTTAAAGGACCCCAAAGTTCCTAGTGCTACCAGGGCGCCTTTTCTTTTTCAGTTAGGGAAATGCAAATCAAAACCACAATGTGATATCATTCCACACTCACTGTGATTAAGAAAGCAATAGGTATTGGTGAGGATGGCTTCCAAATTTCCTGGCATAGACGAATGTTTCCAATGTTTCATCAGCTTGCTGAAACATTTCAATTGTTACTCCATCAATTCCTGGAACTTTGGTTTTGCTAATACCTACAGTGCAGCCTGGCCTTCTTCCTTCAGTACCATCGGGTTTTGGTCCTATGCTACCTATGAAAATGGCTTGGTGTTGATGAGTTCTTTTTGGTGCAGTGGTTCTGTGTGCTCCTTCCTGTAGTAATTCATTCTCAACAAAGAGTTACATCGGTTCACAAATGCTACCTGCCCCAATATGGCAGCTAAGACACAAGAACACTTGACGAAATCACTGATTACGAAAACACCTGACAGCATCCAACAAATCAGCATGGGCTTGTAGCATGTGTGGAAGAAACCATGTGATTTGGAATTGTGTTGTCTCAGGGCAATAATGACAGGTCTGATTAGAGTGAATTAAAACCCAAACCGAATCCACTGCCATTGAGTGGATTCTGACTTACGGTGGCCCTATAGGACAGAGTAAAACTGCTGCTGGTGGTCTCCAAAGCTGTGAGTCTTAACAGAAGCAGACTGTCTGGACTTTCTCCCATGGAGTCCTGGTAGGCTTGAAGCCCCTGAACTTTGGGTTAGCAGCCCAATGTTTAACCCACTGTGCCACCCGGGACTCTTTTCATAGCCCGTAGTCCCTGATGGTTGGCCTTAAGTGCCAACATCGACTCATCAATTTTCCTGGAACTAAATGTTTCAAACACCAAATGCATTGCGCACTAATAACCAAAGACTAGATGACTTGTGGGATGACATCAAGAACATGATTGGTAAAGAGAGAAAAGGGACATTAGAAAAGGCAGGGAAGAAAGAAAAGACCAAACGGATGTTAGGAGGGACTCTGAAACTTGCTCTTGCATTTAGCCAAAGTGACTGGAAGAAAGGATGATGTAAAAAAGCTGAACAGGAATGTCCAAAGGGCAGCTCAAGAAGACAAGGTATTCTAATGAAAACCAAAAGGACAGCGCCTACTAGCCTCTCTAAGGCGGAAAGAACTGAAGAAAAACATCTAACCTCAATTTGCAATATCAAAGGATTCTATGGACACAAGGGAAGCATCAAATAAGGAGGAAAGGAATGCACAGAATCCAAAAAGAACTGGCCAGAATTCAGCCATCTCTGGAGTAGCACATATTCAAAAAATGATGGTATTGAAGGAAGAAGTTCAAGATACACTGGAGGCATTGACAAAAAAACAAGGCTCCAGTCTTCTTTAAAGACGTCTCAGATGCTTTGGACACGTTATCAGGAGAGACCAGTTCTGGAGGAGGACATCATGCTTGGTAAAGTACCAGGTCAGTCAAAAAGAAGACCGTCAACAGGAAGGATGGATTCAGTGGCTGCAACAATGGGCTCGAATATAGGAAAGACTGTGAGGATGATGCTGGACTGGGTGGGGCTTTGTTCTGTTGTACATGGGGTCACTGAGTGGGGACCAGTCAGACAATACCTGAAACCACCCCCACCTGCTTTACATGTATTAAGACATTTCATCTTTTCAGCAGGGAACAGTGGTGGTTCGGTGCTGGAGTTCTTGCCTTCCAGGAAGGTGACCCATATTGGATTCCTGGCTAATGCACCTTATGCAGAGCCACTCCCCACCTGTGTGTGGAAGGATTCCATTTGCTATAATGCTGAACAGGTTTCAGTGGAACTACCAGACAGAGATGGAGTAGGAAGAAAAGGCCTGGTGATCTGCTTCTGAAAAATCAGCCAATAAAACTCCCTGATCATAAGAATCTGATCCACAACCAATCATGCGGTTTGGTTCTGTTGTGAATGGAACCGCCACAAGTCCAATGGGCCAATACAATGGTCTCTACTAACAACAGCCATCTCTCCAGTGTCTTAATGAAATAGACACTATTATCCCCATTTTACTGATACCCAAGGAGCCCTGGTGGTGAAGTGGGCCCTGAGCCAGGCTGGTAACCAGAAGGTCAGCAGTTCAAAACCACCAGCCACTCTGTGGGAGAAAGATGAGGCTTTCTGCTCTCTTGATGATTGGGTCTTGGAAATCTGTCCTATTGTGTCTCTATGAAGTCAGGATTGACTCAATGGCAGTGAGTTTGGAGTTTTGATCTGGTGGTGCATTGGTACTCCCCTGTGGAGAGGTTAGTGGTTCAAATTCACCAACTATTCTGCAGGAGAAAGATGAGGCAGCCTGCTTCCATAAAGAGTGTCAGCCTTGGAAACCCTGCGGTGCAGTTCTACTCGCTTTTATAGGCTCTCCATGAGTCAGAATTGACTGGGCGGCAGTGGCCTTTTAAATTTGTATCCCCATTTTCCAGAAGAGCTACTGAATGAAGCCCATAGAGGTTAAGTCGTATGCCTAAGGTCACCTAACAGAGATTTGAACCCTGGGCCATATGACTCCAGACCACAGCGCTATTAATACCACTAGCTGCAATCTCCCAATAGCTGAGAAACAAGTGACAGCAGACACACACACTCACTCTCACTGCCTTCGAGTCGATGCCAACTCATAGCAACCCTGTAAGACAGGGTAGAACTGCCCCTAGGAGTTCCCGAGACTGTGACTACTCACGGGAGTAGAAAGGCCCATCTTTCTTTCTCAGAGTGGTTCGTGCTTTTGAACTATGGCCCTTTAGGATCACAGCCCAACCCTTAACCACTACACCCCCAGAGCTCAGTAACAGCAGACATAAAGCCATAAAGCTGGATATGAGGGCCGGGGGCAGGGATGAGGGTGTGTTAGGTCTGGGTCTGGATCTTGACTCTCTCTCCTGTTCAGGTCCCCAGGCCTCCCTGTCTATAGGAGTCATCGTTGGCATTGTTATCGGGATCCTTGCTGTACTTGCCCTGGCTGCAGGCCTGGGCTATTTCCTCTTCAGGAAGTTCAGATGGTAATTTGGGGCGGGGTGGGGGTGGGGTGGGGTGGGGGTTGAGGGAGGGACGTGACTGGCATGGTTTCCCTTCTTCTCCCTGCCCCTCCTCCCTATGCCCAAGAATGGACATAGGATGTGGGCAGGTCCTATGGAGAAGTACAAGGACCAGAGGCACAGAAGAATGAGGCCTTTGGGGTTTCAGGTCGTCCAGGGAAAAAGCTTCGAATTCCATCCAAGAGGAGGATCACCCTGAAGAACACATTTCCAGTAAGTGACCCCATAGCTGATAACCAGGTCTGGGGTGAGGGCTGGGGAAGAGGCTTCCAGCTTTGTTATCTTTGCCATCAGATGTAACTCTGGGATGAGCCCTGCCTGCTCTGGGCTCTAGTGTCCCCATGTGGAAAATGGCTGGGATTGGAAGCAAGAATTTCTGAAGGGTTCTGCCTATTACACCAGCCTGGGACAGCCTGCGGCTGTCCTCACTCTCAGAAAACCTTGTGTTCTGGATTGAATTGTAACCCCTCCCCAAAATAGGTGTTGAAAACTCACCCATTTACTAGTAGGATTTCATGAAGGGATTAACTCAGTTTACCTTGGGTAGAGCAGATGACCTTCAATAATGTAATCTAATGAGATGCAATTACAGTGAACCCTCGCCACTTCGCGCTTCGACTTCCGCTGCTTCACTCTATCGCGGTTTTTGCGTAACAGCGCATGCTCTGTCATTACTGCCACTGATTGGCTCATACTGTACACGCTTCTGTCTGCATCGCTACATATCGGAGCTACGTATCAGATGCATTTTTGCTTTTGTACAGTGTACTGTAATTGTTTGCGATTTTTAAGAAATTTTATCTAAGCCCTATGATGGCTCCTAAACGAGCTGCTTCTTCTAAGCCTTCTGACAATAAAAATAAGCGCCATAGGAAGATGCTCACCATCCAGGAAAAGGTAAAACTTTTGGATATGATCAAAGATGGCAAGAAAATCGTGGAGGTTGCACGCCATTTTGACTTGAATGAGTCTTCCATTCGCTCCATCCGTAAAGAGGAAAAAAACATCCGTGCTACGGCTACTTTCACTTTCAACAAGGAAGCAAAGCGCATCGTGACAAGGAATCCTACTTCGCGGAATTTCATTTATCATGGTAGGGTCTAGAACCGATTAGCCGCGATAAACGAGGGTTCACTGTATTTGATATTGGATAAAATAATTGGAATGGTTGCCTTGTGTTCAATGTACGGATTACACCTGAACATAGAACATAAAAGAACCCAGATCCTCACAGCCGGGCCGATAAGTGATATCGTGATAAATGGTGGAGAAATCCAAGTTGTCAAAGGTATCGTTCTACTTGGATCAGCAATCAAAGCCCATGGAAACAACAGCCAAGAATCGAATGGGGTATTATATTGGGGGGAATCTGCTGCAAAAGGCCTCTTGTAAAGTGTTAGCCAGCAAAGCCGTCACTATGGTGACTCAGGTAGGCCTGACCTACGCCACAGTCTGATCAGTTGCCTCATCTGTATAGACAAGCTTGGCAAGGAGGAGGATGAAATGAGTATGGATGCAAATGGCTTATGAGTTGGGCTGCTAACCTCAAGGTCAGCAGTTCCAACCCACCAGTTGTTCTGTGACAGAAAGGTGAGACTTTCAACTCCCATAGAGATTTACACTCTCAAAAACCTCAAAGGGACAGTTCTACCCTGTGGGTCAGAATGGACTCAGTAGCTTGGGTTGGGTTGGGCCAGATGAACGAACACATTTATCCTGGAGGAAGTACAGCCTGAATGCTTCTGACAAGTAAATAATGATAAGACCATCTTGCTTATTTGGAATACATCTTCAGGAAAGACCAATTGTTAGAAAACGGACATCATCATGCTTGCTAGAGTAGAGGTCAATGAAAACAAGGGAAACCCTCCATGAGATAGATGGATATCAGGCTGTAACTGTGGGCTGAAACATACCAGAGATGGGAAGGAGAGGGCAGGACTGGGCAATTTTTAGGGCTCCTGGTGGCATAGTGGTTGATCATTGGGCTACTCACAGCCAGGCCAGCAGTTCAAAACCACCAACCAGTCTGCAGAAGTAAGATGAGGTGTTCTACTCCCATAGAGATTGGCAATCTTGGAAACGCACTGGGGCAATTCTACCCTGTCCTATAGGGTCACCATGAGTCAGAATCAACTCGATCGCAGCGAGTTTTTGAGGGAAATGTTTTGTTCTGTTATACAGAAAGTGAGTCAGGGCTGACTTTGCGGAAACAACAACAAATGTAAGATCACTTTCCATAATGCAACCTAATGTCATACAACCAGCCCGTCAGTTGAGGTCATACTAATGTAGGGTAGATACTAAACCTCATCAATTTTGAGAGAAAAACAGAGAAGACTGACATAACTGTGTACATAGAAGAAGACAGGTGGCAAGGGAAGACTTATCTACAACTCAGCATACTCAAGGGTTGCTGGCAGCTGAAATAGACCAGGAAAGACACCTCCACCTCAAAACTACACACTGAATTCAGCCTTCTGGCTTCCTGAACCCTGAGAGAATGAGCTTATGTTCTTTAAAATCACCCACTCTGAAACAGTGGTTTGATAGCAGCTCTTGGGAACAAAGAAGGCACCCTGGTAGTGTAGTGGGCTGCTAAGCACAGGGTCAGTAGTTCAAAACTACCAACTGATTCAAGAGTGGGGGGGGGAGGCTTTCTACTCCCATCAAGAGGGGTTATCTCAGAACCCCCCAAGGCAGTTATACCCTGTCTTCTAGGCTAGCTATGAGTCAAAATCAACTCAGTGGCAGGGAGTTTGGTTTGGTTTGAGGGAACAAGGAGACTTTGTGCATTGACTGTGGTCTACAAAGCCCACCGATCACAGCTCAATTCTACACGAATGCAGAACCCAGACCCCATTACAACTCACTGTCCCTGAGGAGCATGTGAGTGGATGGGAGCTGACTCAAGGCAAAAATGAAGCAACTTACCATCTCAGGCCTAGCATTCTGGAAGGATAAGCCACGCCCACTCAGGTGATTCCAACCCATAACAACCCTGAAGGACACAACAGAACTGTCCCTGTAGGATTTCAGTGGCTGTCCATCTTTAAGGATATAGACTGCCCTGTCTTTCTCCCACAGAACAGCTGTTGGGTTCAAATGATCAAGATTTTGGTTAGCAGCTGAGGGATTTAACTACTATGCCACCAGGGCTCCTTTGTGGAAGGCTATCCATTGCAATCAAGTTGAATCAGATTCAGAGACCAGGTGGGACAGAGTAGAACTGCTTGCATAGGGTTTCCAAGACTGTAGATCTTCACAGAAGTAAACAGCCTCATTCTTGTCCCACAGAGAGGCTGTTGGGTTCTAATCACCAACCTTCATTGAACCCCTGCACCACTAGGGTTCCTCTGTGGAGGGATGGACCACAGTAAACAGAAGGCTCTCACTCTCAACAGCCTGTCAATCTGAGCCACATAGGGCTGCTATTGTCCAACGACCACAATCGGGTGGCTTTCAAGGACACGGACCATCTTTTCTTATGACTTTGGAGCCTAAAAGTACAATGCAGGGCTTCTGACGAGGTCACTCCTTCTTACCTCGATGGTGGCGAGGTGCTGTCCAGTCAGCTCTGACCCATAGGGATCTTATGTGTAACCTTGTTTTTCTCAGGCCCTCAACTTTACCAAGGAGCCCTGGTGACATAGTGGGCTATGCATGGACAGCAATTTGAAACTAACAGCCGCTCCAAAGGAAAAAGAGGAGACTTTCTACACCTGTTAAGAGTTATAGTTCCAGAAACCCACAGTAGGCAGTTCTACTCTGTCCTGTAGAGTCACTATGGGTTGGAATTGACTCAGTGGCAGTGAGTTTAGTTTTGGGTTTCTGTGTGAGTCTGGGTTAACTAGAAAAACAAACTCGTAGATGCTTATATGTCTGTAAAAAAGATCTTTATATAAAAGAGCAATTGTATATTGAGAAAACATCCAGCCCAGCCAAGATTAAGTCTGTAAGTCTGATATTATCTGATATGTCCTATACCAATCTATAAATTCCTCTTCAGACTTACGCAAAACATGAAACGACGCCAAATGTAGGAAGATCACAGGCCAATGGGTGCAAAGTCTTATGGATCCAGTAGCGGTATAAACATCTCAGTGCTGGCATGGGTTTCCACGTGACTCCTGCAGCTCCAGGGCTCTAGCAAAGTTTGATGTGTCTTGTCACAGGAATACCAAGCAGAGAGGGTCTGTGTCCCACTTCCAGAGAGCTACCATTTATACTTGAGTATGAGCCGACCCAAATATCAGCCAAGGCACCGAATTTTACCACCAAAACTGCATTAAAAATGTGCTGAAAGATGGACATTGGGTCTCCACTCAAGGACTCCCTCAATGCAAGAAAACTTTGTTCCATGGTGCTGACCTTCCTGACACAGTCGCTGAAGACAAAGCAGGTGCATAAGCAAATGTGGTGAAGAAAGCTGATGGTGCCCAGCTATCAAAAGATATAGCGTCTGGGGTCTTAAAGGCTTGAAAATAAACAAGCAGCCATCTAGCTGAGAAGCAACAAAGCCCACATGGAAGAAGCACACCAGCCTGTGTGATCATGAGGTGTCGATGGATTAGGTATTAGGCATCAAAGAATAAAAAAATCATATCATTGTGAATGAGGGGGAGTGTGGAGTAGAGACCCAAAGCCCATCTGTAGGCAACTGGACATCCCTTATAGAAGTGTCTCGGGGAGGAGACGAGCCAGTCAGGGTGCAGTGTAACAATGATGAAACATACAACTGTCCACTAGTTCTTTAATGCTTCCTCCACCCCCACTATCATGATCCCAATTCTACTTTATAAATATGGCTAGACCAGAGGATGTACACTGGTACAGCTAGGAACTGGGAACACAGGGAATCCAGGACAGATGAACTCCTCAGGACTAGAGATGAGAGTGGCGATACCAGGAGGGTGGAGAGAAGGTGGGATAGAAAGGGGGAATCAATTACAAGGATCTACATATAACCCCCTCCCTGGGGGACAGACAACAGAATAATAATTTATAAATTATCAAGGGTTCATGAGGGAGGGAGGTGGGGGAGGGAAAAGAAAAAATGAGGAACTGATACCAAGGGCTCAAGTAGAAAGGAAATGTTTTGAGAATGATGATGGCAACAAATGTACAAATGTGCTTGACACAATGGATGTTCGTATGGATTGTGCTAAGAGTTGTACGATCCCACAATAAAAAGATTTTTTTTTAAAGGTGCTGAAACACT